TATGGTGGAGAGCTGAGTTGCATGATGCAATAAAATATAAAAAGAATTCAGTTTTTTCGGTTAACGAATGTAATTTCTGTGTTAGTTCATTTTACTTTGAGATCTACTATTTAGTACATTGATATTATTTTATTGTTCAACCTTCATTCAATAATATAACTTGTCCCGAAATGTTATATGAAGTAATAAATGCTTTTGTTGAAAATCCAACGTTTTTTAATAAACTAAGAATTCATTTCATGATCAAGATTTTTAGTGCTAGTAATTGGAAAGTGACACCAGTTAAATCTTTACCAGTATAAATTTGCTAAAATTTGAGAAACTATGAGAGTGCAACCCAGTGGTCAACCACTCTTCTTTGCTGTTACTATATACCATATATTAAATATGTATATCTAATAGGGTTGGCTTGTATGTGATGTAACAATTCTCAATCTATAAACTCGAATAAAAAATTGATATTATACTGCTTGATATCGAGTCTGACTGAGGTTGAGATCAAACTCGTGACTAGTGCTCACCAACGGTAGTACAAAATGCTAACTTCTAAGTATTATACCTTTATAGTAATATTGGATAATTCAGTTAAATACTTCGAATTATCAAAAACTTGATATGTGAGAAGTTAGCGAAAATTAGTTGTTTTATTTAAAAAAGCGTAACTTATGCTGATTAGGTAATAAATAACTCTCTAAAATGATTGCACATAAATTTAGCCATACAATAAAAGGCACTATTAATAAAATTTATATTTATTATTTATTAACATTAAAAGCAATTGAAATAGCTTTTAACGACCAATATATTTGCATTAGATTCAGTACATATTTATGTCAAATAAAATTGTGATATGTGTTTATACATTAAAATTGCCAGTAACTGTTATTTGGAGATAAATTTACTTTAACACCTTATGTTCTTATGTTCTTAAAGCAAACGTTTAAAGTAATTCTAAATGGTATATTTGCTAATGCAGCTTCAATGTATAGTAATTGATTAGGTCGATATTACATTGGAAACGCATTAGTCTTACACTATATTGCTATGTAGGGTTTTTGTCTTAAAGCGTGATTTGCAATGAAATTTTATAAATGGATTGACTATTACCCAATATTTCCCATATCAAAAGCAAAGATCATTTTAGATTAATATTGCAAATCCATAAATGAGGCAGCTGACTAATGCCTAACGATGATCAAATAATTTTGTATGCTTAACACGCTTGTATTTTTATACTAAATTCTACTTGTTGTCCGTTCCAGAAAGTTGTAAAACTCTAATAAAACCAAAAAATGGTCAAATCGGCAATAACTATGTTGTGTATAAAACTACTATAATCAATAGTTTTAAGAAGAAAAAAATCTGGTTAAATATAAATGAACTTTCAATCGCGTATAGGGTCTGGAATTTCATTTTTCTATAGATACGTTTTTGAAGTAAAACTTCTTTAGGCGCGACTAGGGTGTAAATCCGTACAAATGCAACGGAAATTTGTTACGCCCGGACTGTTCGTCATTCGCTCTCGATGATATCATTTTTATACGAGTCGATTGTGATTAGTCGTCGTGTATGTGAATAGATATCTGTCGTTGTATGCGTACCGATATCAGCAAGAAAATCGGCATAGATAAATAGATATTTTGAATTTACATCGTAGTACAAATCTTGCTTTAATGAAAAATGCCTGAATCAGAAGAATATTTTACCCTATTTCTTGAAAATAATAAAACAAATTAAACATTTATTCCGTAAACTAAACGTAAATTTATTGATTAGAAATTATTCCTATTTCTAGTTTCCATAAATCTTCGAAGTTATTAAAATGAAAAATATTTTTTAGGCAAGACAGATATTACAGCTGATCAAAGAATGAAATTATATCGCCAGCGAAAAAGTAAAAATATACAAGCAGTCAATGAATGTATGTTAATTTTAATTAAATGAAGTTCTTCAAACACAATCACATGATGAGTGAAGTTGTGAAAACAATATTTGTTTAGGCGTTGTTTAACATAATCCACTATGTAATTGAATATTATAGAATTTATTAATCAGCAATTACTTCCTTTCTCTAATAAAGGTTCATTTCCAAATGCTAATTACAATGACAAACCGATCATGTCATATTTGAAGTATGACTTTAATTACATTATTGTTTTTAAATATTATGCATATTTTTATTAATACTATTATAATTATATAATTTATAATTTATCATTATATAAATATGTATAATGGTTGACACTAATAAATGTGCATCATATCACGAGTATTACCGTATTAATAAAATTATTCAAAATTGTTATATGATGTATTTATTTTTACTTAAATGCCACCTTGTACAGTAGCAAATAAGTTTTACTTCAATCGCGTGTGAACCTTACGTGCACTCTTTTTTTATTATACGCCAAAAATTTATCATCACGATCAAAGCCAATTGATATCATTAGAACGAATATAAGAAATATTGCGAAAATCAGTTCAGTTTTTTGCAATTTTTTTTTATTGTTATTCAGCTAAATCCAAAGAAAACAGCTTGGTTAATTGCCGCGCAAAAGTAAGAAGCAATTTTTGGAGAAAACTTGAATAATAAAAACTTTAAACTAATAATAATAATGCAATGAAATATAAACTTTTCTGATAATTCTAAATAAATGGTTCGATCGATCGTAGCACAATGAAAATTAAATAATTGCTTAAGTGAGTTGTTTCAATATTTTCAAGACAATTATTTTAATATTCATACTATTTTTAATAAAAAGTTCAACTATATAGAAATTATAAAAAATACATATCCTAATTTAAAATAAAAATTAAAAACAAACAAAATAGTTACCTCCAGCACTTCATACAAATTGTGGTAACCTGGCACTATTACTAAAAGTAATTCCATGTACAATTTATACATAGTTCATATTACTATTATTTACTTCTAATAGTAGGATATTTGGTGTTTTTTATTGGTATCAATTTTAATTCGTTCAATTTTCTTCCTCTAATATTGGCCTTTAGAATAGAAAGCTCATAGTACAACCTGGACGATGACATACATCACTAGCTTATCTAGTATATTTTATATAACGATAAGTTATGTTTTAAAATACAATACCATAAGCCACAATTTATGTGATACAGGTAAAATGATTCCATCAATGTGAACCAGGCATACTAGTTGTTTGTGTGTGGTATAACTGTTCTCCTAGTCGGTTCTTGTGAGAATCTTATTTGAAGAGTTAAATGAAGAAATCAACAGTGTATAACAGCATCAGAATTGGACATTTCAATGAAATAAATCACATCGGTATTCCCGTAAACAAACAAAGATACGAGACCACCGTTATGAAAAAATAATGCTTACCAAAATGCCATAGAAAGCAAGAATTCAATTTTAGATTAATGGATATTAGAAACTCATCCAGGATGATTTTCATAATTTTTCATTACTCGTGCAATATTAAAAATGTATTTATCTGATTGTCACTTTCTGGCACAGAGTATTTTATCGATTTCAAAAAATCAAAACCTCTAATTTTTTAATAAAAAGTCCGTGACAAGCCTAACTCACTGGTCACCTTTTTGCACCACGCCCTCCTCATTCTTATAAAAAAATGTTGCGCCCTCCTCAATGTTGTTAACAATTTAATTTCAAATATATTACAAATACTAAACTGATATTACAATTTAATTAATATGCAATATTCTGTAAATAATATATATTAAAAAAATATTAGTTTTTCATTAATGTTTGGTTTTAGCAGAAGGCGCGCCCCACAGATTGGAAACCACGAGTCATCATGAATGCATCATAGATTTAAAAAAATATTTTTGAAGTGAGTTCTATGTACTACTGGTATTACTGTTTAATATAAATAGTAGACTTTTTCCGATATTTTACTTTATATTGACAGGAACAAAGTCCTCTCGTAAAAAATACAATTTTTGTACCTTAAGTTTTATTAAAAAAAAAACAAACTAACTAGTGGTGTATGGGATCGTGCCTTAGGGCAAATTGCTGGAGTTTTCCGTGCTGAAATATTGGAGTACTGTAACTTATATATGGATTTATAAGAATTATATAAACTGAATTGCGAAGTTAAAATTATTCATTTGAAGTATATTAGTGAGCTTTAGCATTTTAGCCACAATTAAAATTAAAATCCGAACTATTTTCGATATTCAAAAATAAAAAAGTTTTCAAAATTAAGTGTCATTTTGCCTTGAGGAAGATTATGAACTTCTCAAAATGTGTAATTATTGACTTGATCATCCAAAATTGAGATTTAAATATTTAGATTAAATTTTCAACTGTTTATTTCAAAAATCTAATCATTGCAATTTCCAATTCTCTCAAATTAATTTAAATTTTAATTTTAAATTTTCTGTAATTATATTGAATATATTGCTATATAGGGTAGCTTATTATTCCAAATTTTAATGAATTGACGATATTTCAGTTTTCAAATCACAAAAGCAACTTTGGGCACAAATTTTGACCATAATATTTTGTTAAACTTAGATGAATTTTTAAAACTAAACTACTTGCCGTTGAGCCATAATATTTTAGTATGTCGCAGAATGTATCTATCGACGAAACGAAAACATAAACGCCTCCTTCGGGAAGATAAAAAATTGATTATTTTAGTCCACGTGGTTATGGTAAATCCACAAGGGTATATATTTTTGGCTAAAATGTGAACAAAAAATGTTGCAATTAACTGCTAATTATTAAGAAAAGGTTCGGTCGACTGTCTTGCAAAACTAATCAAAACAAATTCGCACACATACATCATAAACATTTAGTGCCAACAATTCATAATGTCTTGAATCGTCGAGAAAACATAAAATTAGGAAATGGAGATTTGCTTCCTTCCTTCATTTGAGATAAATTGAATGTGCGAGCAAATACTGCATAAGAGTTATTTCCAGCACCTTACAAAATTTGGGGTAATGGCGCCACTAAGAGTAAATTCATATACAATTTATACATTTGTTGATCTTACCATTATTTAATTCTCAACCAATGGTATATGCACACGTTGCACGTTAGATCACTACTTCACTTTAATTAAATATAATAACACATATAAAACTTGTCAAATGGATAAAAGAATGAATATCACAAAATAGGTATAATGTTACGACTCCATGTTTGTTTGTTCTGTCATTTGTGCAACATATTTCAATAATAGACTACTAGTCGGAAGTTGGTTATATAAATTTGGCGTGAATTTGGCGATTATCCTAAAGGCGCGATTTTTGAATTATTTACTTCTAACCGCATAAAGTTTATCTTTTTATTTTTCTTGGTTATAGTTTTTATAAAAAATAAATAATTTTTTATAAAAAATAAATTATAAAACAATGTTTTTACAATCAAATTGATTTGTTTATACTATGTGCGAGCACCTCTAATTAATTAAATAATATGTTAATTGAAGCTTCTAAATAATGTGAATTCTATGATATATATTGAGAAATTTATTTAATATCATATTAAATATTATATATATATATATATATATATATATATATAATGGGGGCTTGGGCTTAACGGCAACATGCTCAATTATCGAATACCAAACACTGATACCAAAACTTTTATATAAAAACTGATTTATGTATTCCAGTTGTACTATAGAAGGAAAAATAGAAGTAGGAATAACCTTACGAATCTTCTTCTGATAATTGTCTAATTCTTTGCATATATTTATTGCCGATTAAAATAACATAATTATAAGTGTCTAATAAAGATACATATATGAAAATTATTAAAGTTGAAAATTAAAAATAAAATTATTTATATGTTATTTACAGCAACCAGAACTTAATGATCCTATAAGTGTGTTCTGAGGGCTTCTTAAATAATGTGGCTTCTGAAGGCAACCCATCGGTTGACCTATCCTTTTCTGTTAAATTCATTATTAGAATCACTTTAATACTGACGACTTTTTTTACTGGATACAGCAATGCCCGGTGAGGGCAATTTTTTGGTAACATATTGCCAATCAAAAATATCTTTAGTAAATTATAATATATACTTAACTCACATTTTTATTGTTTTGATTGATATGAAAATTTCTTTATTATATATAATTTTATAATACAAACTAAGAGTATTAAATCGAATTAATTCGTAATATACTTAAATGTAGTTGATGTGTTTTGCAATCTATAAGACTACTTATGAAACTTTTCTCATTACTTTTTCTGCAAATGATGGAACACATTAATAATAAAAATTATGATTTTGTGATTTAAAAAAAAATTGATCTTTTTTCTTGTTGTGTCACTATTAATTTGAACACTGTACTATATATTTTAATTAGGTATACCATATTATAAATTATCTATGTATTGGAGTAAAATACCTTAGGGTAGTATGTATGCTCATTCAATGTTCCATATTAATATATAATGCAATTAGTTGTTTATAAACTTCATATTCATTTTCTGTTAAAATATAAGATGTATTTTTTAGGTATAAAACCAATTATTTAAACTAATGCTTTATTAATTGTATTATCAGTCTGAAAAAAGCATATAAACATGCAGATAAAAAGCAATTACTTTTACTTTTGGTTTGCAATCCATTTTCCTACGTCTTTAACTTCTGAAATAGAATTTTCATTCAAAGAATGAATTAATGATTAGAATGAATTATTTTTATAAATATTCCAATTCGGTGGATTAAAAAACAACGTCATAAAAATATAATAAAAAGATCGAGCCAAACAAGGTCGACACTGTGACACAGTCGGAAATCTGTGTAAAAGTTGTTCAGATCTAAAAACAAGAAATCGTTTATGCATTCATTTACTTAATTAACTTCCAATTTGCATAGCATGCCGGCCGGCATGTGGTCGTAGTGTAGGAAGATAGCGAAATTGGGTTTTTGCTCGCTCACGTTTGTCTTGTACCATTGAGACGAATAATCAGTAATACTTTCAATATAAATTAACAATAGGTTGAACTCTGAGTTGTTGATAAAATAATTCGACGGACTTGACTATTCAACCGCATATTCATTTCCTCCCAGTGGATTACAGCTATAGTTATAGATGTGGTGTCAGTTAATTTATTGAAGTTCGTGTTAATATTTTGTAATTATTTATTATCAGTTAATGCAAACTGCATAATAACGTGAGATTGGGTCTATTTTTGACCACAAATTAATTAATTCTTCATAATTAACAAAAAAATTTGAAACTTTGCCCACGCTTTTTTTTCATTTTTTTGCATGGAAATAACTTATATTACATTATATTAATAATGATTGAAGTGAAAAATATTCAATACAAATAATATTTAAAAAAAAATTTTTAATGTGGGTATTCAAGAGCAAAAGGTTGCGGACGCTGAATATTTGACCTTGCGCATTGAATACAAGAAAATCATTTATCATGCAGTAATTTATTTGTGATTTTATTTTTCTGAATTAAGCTACTTCAATTCTTTTTTCAAAAAAATATTCATTTACTTATTGATTCAAATATTTTCAGCGTTCATGTATATGGGAGATTTCCTTCTTTAGGATCATTGAAAATTTATCACCAATATCTCAAAAACAAGTGAAGTTAATTTTTTTAACAAAAATATTTGAAAGTATAGGAAAAAATATGTATGACCAGTCTTTCTCCTGATTCTTACGACGCTGTTATCGGGAAATAATGTTTGAAAATCTATAGCAACATAATTTTTTCTCGTTCTTAGTTTTTTGGTAGTGAGCACTGTTGTTTAGTTTACTAGACTAGACCTTAATATAATATTTAAGTAAACGTCATATAATTGTACAATAATATGTATTGTTAATTTTAAGTTCGATCAAACAGTATTGTTATATAACATCTATAAAAGCTTGCATATGTGTGGGGTAAAAAGAACCAACTGAAATTTTTTCCTGGCAAAGGTATAACAAAAAGAAAATAGTAAATGAAAAATAAGTTATGTTAAAAAATGCAATTTTAAAAGAACTAAATTTAATTAATAAATATTCCAACTTTGCTAATGAATATTTGTGTCGAAATATAAGATCAAGTTGTATACGGTGTATCCTATGCAAAAAATGTGCCCATCAAATTTATATTCTGCATTGACTGAATATTGTAGATATTATTTCGTAAAATCCCTTTAAATTTGGAATAAAAATATTGGATCTGCTGCCCATGGCTGTCTCATGTTACCCCGTTTATGAGGTAAAATAGGACAGATGATAAATTTAAGAAAAACAGAAAAAGACACATTTCTAGAATTAAAAATTAACTGAAGATTCTATTGTATATAGTTTAATAGTTGTTTGTTTGATTTTTGTTATATGTTGTGATGTAGTTCGTTTGTTATTCTAAAGTAAACAGTATAATCAATTAAAGTCAAATTGAACCTTTGTGCCCCGCCTTACCTTATATATATATATATATATATATATATATATAATAAGTATCCGATGTTAAATAGTTGCGGCAGCCCCGGGCAATTGTCATATTGCTCAGAATAATTTTTCGGTCGGCTGACTTACATCCATATGAACATTAATACAATTATAATTATATATAATAAACTAACGAAATTGTACATGTATGCATGAATAAACACAAAATCAAATATTTGATTATTAAAATAATTTGACACAGTGACTTATTACTCAAGGAGTCACAATAGATTATGTCATTTGTAAGAATTAGAATAATGGAGCAATCTTATGTAATCATAGAATTGTAATATGATTAGAAGATAGATGACTTAGTAGAAATAATCTGATTGTTGAATTAGAATTTAAAAAGAATTTGATTAGCCCTGTCTAATTTACATCCTTTGGCAAAGTCCATATGTAATATGTTACTCAACATATGGTAACATTTTTAAACTTTCGCATATGTTGCTGATAAAATATGATATGTTATACTTAATAAGACTCTCTGACTTGGAAATGGATCATATGAGTACAGAGAAAACAACGCTAAAATAAGCATTCAATACAAAGTGAATATTTGACAAATATATATCCTTTCTCCAAATTTCATAAATAATGCCCAATTTTGTACAAAATATTGAACACACTTTTTTATTCAAAACTTATCACAAACAAATTATTTCAAACTTTCCATTTAGGATTGGTTTTTAACATATTTCAGAGTTTGTGCTAACATATGAAAGTTTTAAGAAAGTCATCAATTAAAGTAGCATCAATAAAAGTTTAGAATACATGGTTGAACCAACAAATGAGCACTTAACATGAAATTGTCACCTAAAATATAATTATTTTAACAATTCGGATCAATTCAGTTTATCTATTGACCCCTATAGACCCTACAATTTCGAATTTAGTAGTAAAACAAACTTCAAATACTTGAATTGGCAAGTGGATGTGGTAATTGTCCATAATGCTGGTCAATTTAATGTTGATTAAATGGAGAAACTTTTATTTTTATTTTATTTTATTTTACAGCTCAAGATTTATGGACTTGTTGATGACTTTTCTCATAAAGTCTTTTTTAGAAGGCAACCTAACAGTTTGAGATATTTTTCTCTTGGATAGAGTAATAGAATCAAGTAAAAATAGATAGGAAAAATTGCATGATATCAGGTAAGTTGAGGTGGTTATGGAATCTGGAACCAAAGCTTTTACCACTGAGTCACAACAAGCCAAATTAAAATCATGTTTTGAACAATTTTTTATGAGTTGTAGAAGAAGATAGCAGTCAAACTTAAAATATCATCTATATTTGATAAACTGATGGTTAGACGTTGCTGTATAAAAACACCCGAATTTGTTTATTTATTATATTTAATTTTATGCAATATTTTATTAGTGCATGCAAATAAAATTTTAGCAATACTCTTTGAACCTTTTAATTTCATATCTTTAGATTATTTTATTTGAAACAGAAAATTGGCTTAAATTTAAATGAACTTTAATAAAATATTTAGTGTGTTATGACTTGCAAATAATTTAAGAATTTAACAGTTATGGACTGTTGTACTGAGCTTTCTCCTAGACAATGTTTTTCTATGGAAGGCAACCCAACAGTTGACCTAAGTCATATTTTATATATAACTAATAGCTGTACCCGTTCACGCCTCGCCGTGTTTTAGTTTCAAATAAAAAGTTGAAGAAAAATATATA